ACGGGGAGAATATCTCGGAGCTTCCATGCCCCCTACTGAGGATCGAGACCACAACCCGGGCTTGTGCCCTTGACAGGAATAGAACTTGGGACCATGCAGGGGGCATGCAGGAGGCAGCCGATCAATTATTCTCTTTCATCATTAGTGTTTCTCTCTCTCTCTCTCTCTCTCTCTCTCTCTCTCTCTCTCTCCCTTTCTCTCTGAAATTAATAAATATATTTTTAAAAAGAATAGGTGGACACAGTCCAGCCAGGTAAAGTTCTCCAAACGTTGCCCGTGCTACAGGTGCATCTCACTCCACATAGGTGTGCAATGCCCTGCTGTGAACACAGGCTCTCTCAGCCTTCAGCTTCTGTGGACGATTCTTGCAGGAGTGCAGGCCTGGACAATGAAGTCTTGCAATTGCTTGCTAGGCCTTGCAACTCAGTACATCGGCTCCCGCACTCTGGACAGCATCATATGGGCTACAAAGGCGCTACTCATAATCCGATTGAGTTTTCTCCTCAAACACTACTTACCCTGAAGCACCCAGGGATGAGGGTCAGTTGCTCTAAAAAACAACATGCAAACCCTCTCCACCAGACTGTGAACAATTCTTTTCTTCAGGCCTTGAAGTAAGAAGAGAGTCTTTGTTCAGGGGGATGGCCAAGCTTTCATTTTCACTCCGTGACCACAGCCTTGCTTTCGAGATCCTTATTTTAGGAACACACGGCTGTTATTGAGAATGCGGCTTTTTATCTCCATGAACTCCTTTCATTCTCACATCGACCCTGACGCGTAGGTAACCCTGGGGGCACAGAGCGGTCCAGGGAGCAAATGTTGATGCTGGAAAGCGCACCCAAGCAGCCTGGCTCCACGGCCTGCGCTCCTCTGTGATTAGCTATAAAGCCCAAGATTAGCGACAGAGGTATGCTTATCTGTATTTGCTCATTAATTGATTCAGGAGAATGGGCTTCGTGTCACGTCCTCAGCTATGTGCTTGGGGCACAAAGGTGAGTGTTACTAACTTCCCTGTCCTTGATATTCCCAGTCTAATAATGAGCAATTAAAGGGGCAGTTAAAATAATTAGTGTTAAGTGCTAGGGCGGAAGTGAGGGGTGAGGCTGTGTGGAAGCATAGATGTGGGAGAGGGTGTGGAGGTAGGGGGTGGGGAGGAAGAGAGGACCGGGGTGGTACATGGCCATGGGAAGCTAAGTCACGGAGCTGGCATCTGAGTCCCCAGGGTGGGGTGAGGGCCAGTTAGAGGCATTAGGGGATCTGATTGAGGAAGCAACAGGCACCAAGGCCCAGAACAGGAAAGGGAGGGGAGTTCTCTCTGAAGAGAGTTTATGTGAGTGGGTTTAGGGAGATGGCGACAGAGGAGGCCAAAGAGGTTGGCAGGGACCTAACCTAAATGGTCTCTCTGTTCTGAGAAAAGCTTAGGCTTTCCCGTTAGTAACATCAGGCCATTAAAGTATTTTCAGCAGAGGTTTTCTTTATAACAAGATACTGGTGGCTACGGGAGGGATGGTCTTACCAGACCCAGGGGTCCCCATTTGATGCGCTTTATTCTAAAACCAGACGTGGTTGTCACCAGGTAGCTTTATTTACTTGCAGCAAGTAAACAGTAGAGTCACAGCCAATGAATGAATTCAAACAACAGATCCCACTAAGCGTGGGATATAGAACTGTTTTCATCCATGTAGTCTTGTGGTAGGTACTAATCTTCTCTATCAAATGATATACGTAAAGCATTTTACCTTAAACTAGCCTTACAGTAACGTATTCTTGTCCTGTAGGTCTAAATCTGGCTTTCTAGGACAATGTTTGAGTTAGAATACAGATGGTAATTTAAAAACCTGTGTTTCTTTTTTAATTGTAGGGTTCCTGTAACAAGTGGTAAAGCTGCCGTAGGCAGAACTTGCAATGTGGTCCAGCGGTGTGAGGCCCGGCCCTGGGGGCTGACACTTCGGGGGCCACTCCCAGCTCTGTGGGCACCTGTCGCCTCACCCTTGTGATCACAACTTCCACAGTGCCCATCTCACCTTCTCAACGTTTAAGGCGAGGGCTCGCTGAAATGTGCCTAGCTGCAAAATTCTAAGACTTACACTCAACTTGGTGTTAACCATTTCTTAAACGTTAGGGTTTAACAAACTATAAAGAATGAGCTTGATGACGGGGCCTAGGTGTAGAGGTGGAGCCATGGCCAGGCTTCTCTCGGTCTCCCCACACCCCTTCCCTGGGGCTGGCTCTCCAGCTAAGCATATTCTTCTTTCTCAGAAGGGCAGTCTAATAGGCCTGGCAGCATCTCGGAATGGGAGTTTGGCTCTGGTCCATGTGTGGGTGCTGCTTAGTCTACCTGGCATTTAGGTCTTCAGCTGCAGTGCCATTCCATTCCTTTCCCTGGACCTGCGTTCCTACCTATTGGAGCTGAGCTCCGGCTGTGAGGGGGTGGGAGGTGGGGAGCAGAGGTACCAATGGGCCTTTTCTAAATGTTCTATGGGCTACTGCTTCCCACGTCTGTCTGCACAGTAAACCATGAGCAGAATAATGAAGCCAGAATCTCTGTGGGCAATTCTAACATGCAACCATGTTAGAATGTTGTCCAAAAGCCAAGCCATTCGTCTGCCTGTAGCACTGGGAAAATGAAGATTTCAAAACCCACACCTCACAGAATTCTTCTAATGATTCCGATGCAAACGGTGGAACATGTTAACATTATTTATAAAAAAAAATACAAAAGGAAAGACAGGAAACAAACATGCAGTATTGCTCATGTTTTGATTGTATTCAAATTTTTATTTTTTGAACAAAAAAAAACATAAGGACAATGATTTTAAATAATAAAACATGGTATAGTCTAGATACTTCTAAAAAGACAGTTTATTCCAATTTGGACTCCTACAGTTCTGTTGTGATACTTTCTTCGACATTTATATTATTATTATTATTATTATTTATTTTTTACCATTCTATTACCACTCTAAACTCGCTAAACAAAAAAACAAAAAAATCACTCTGTCTGCTCCCACGAAGCTTCACTTTAGAGAAACCCTCCACTCCCACATCAAACACACAACAGAACAGTCATGTTTTATTTACAGAACACGGAAGTCTGTCCAGCCATTTTGGTTTTGTTGTTCCCTTGCCCATGCTGAGCTCAGCGAAAAGCTAAGTAACAAGCACGCTTTCGCTTCAGCAGGCCAAGGGTGGCATCAACCAAACTTCCTGAGACAGCCAACACAGTTACACACATGGTCAGCGAGAGTCAACGTGTACAACAGTGACTGAGAAGCATACACACGGAGTGGGTCACAACCAGACTGGCGTTCACTGTGCAACTTTCCTCAGGGAACAACGCCTCCCCTTTCACACGGGAAGCAGGACACACCCAAGCCTTTGTTCGTGAAGAAGATGCCCTTCAAAACAAACTCGTCATAAGGCAAAAGGAAAAGAGAAGAAGAAGGAAGTCGTCTGGCCCAGAGAGAGGCTTGTGGACAATGTGTATATACACAGGATATATATATATATATATATACACACATTATAGACATATTACATTTTAAACTATGTATAGAGTCGTCTGACAAAGAAATTGGCTCAGTGCAGTGAAAAAGTGTTCCTTGTTCTACAAATTGTAGTTATTGCTAATGTGCTACACATGATAGTCTGACATGGAAACGGAGTCACGTGGAATGGAAGCTGCCACATTGCCAGCGTCAGCCCCGCAGCAGGCGATCATACGGACAACATGCCATCCCCGCCTCGAGGAAAAGCAAACATTCCGCTACCGAAAAAAAGAAGAAAAGGAAAAAGAAAAAGGCTTATGCACTGTCCCTTACATACCTGCCTGTTTTTAAAAAGCAAAACACAAGTCCAGTTCACCACAAGCTAAGCACACCTGACAAGCAAGTTCAGCGGCCCGGAGGGAGGGGAGAGGGAAAGGCATGCTTGCAGGAGCCCTGTGCTAGTCTATTCTGTCATACAAACTGGAGTACAAAAATCCAATTTAAATAAGACTAGACTAACTGCAATAGTAAAAAAAAACAAAAACAAAAAACCAAATAAAGCAGAAAACCAACCACACGCACAGTAGACTTGGTTGATACTGATTGTTTAAAAGTCATCCTGTCCCCTCTTCTACCCCATTGCAATTGATTGATTGATGGCTAGAATATTTACTTAAAAAACACATTAAATACCTGTAATTACATTCTTTTTAACAATAAGACATACTGTTTAAGAAAATAGCTCATGTGTGAAATGTGTCTGAAATGCATTTTTCCTCACAACTATCAAAACATCCACTCACACTTAAAACAACCCCTCCACCCCGTGCCCTCCCCCCAAAAAACGTTAAGGAAAGATGGGGTGGGTCAGGTGAGGGACAGGGAAGGAAAGGGTTACCAGCACAGTGATTAACAATGGTTCAAGACAGAACCAACAAGAGTTGGTCAAAGAGATGCCTTCGATACATGGCTATGATTGAAAACCAAACTCAACCACTTTGGGTTCATTGCAGTGACACACAAAAAAAAAAAAAAAAAATCTTCCTCACAGATTTGTAGAAATACTAGACTCCAGCTCGTCCGTTATTATTATTTTGTAAAGTTTTTCCATTTGTTTTTGCAAGGCCTGGCTACCTTGTCACACTTTTTAGCTGCTCTGCAACAACTACGAGAGGTAGGCATAAAGCATGAAAGTTTCCCGTTAGTACCTCACTGTGGATCGTGGTACCATTCACTTCAGTCTTTTCTGACCCCAAACAAAGCTGCTCCATTCCATAAATATTCTAAGAGTGTACTCCCAAATAAGAAACTTTCTCTACTGAAGGATACTGTCAGTGTTTGCTGCAGAGCATTTACATATATGTATATGTATAGGTATATGTATATATGTATATACACACGCATACATACACATCTGTGTGTATACACACACATATATATATACATATACATATATTTACATGTACATATATATATATATACACACACATACATATACATATATATATTTAAAAAAACAACAAAAACCAAACCCAGGTTCCTAGAACCAATTTTCTTGATTCTCTACTTCCACACAACAATGTATACCATTTGGCCAAGACTACAGATGTGTTTCTTTCTTTTTTTTTCTTTTTTTTTCACAGATGCAAGTGCCATGCAAAAAAAAATAAATTAAAGAACAGTTACCAAAACATACATGTGGTAAAACTACTGAAGGTAGATCTTTAAAAGCATTTATATAAACATAATTTATAATACTTCTTTTTCCTCCTGTCGGTACAGTCACAGAGCGGCAGTTACACATCGAGGATTTCCTCGGCGGTGCCCCCGCAGCGCAGCCTGTAGCGGCCAGTTCTCCAGCTTATCGTGGGGTCCCATAACGCTGACAGAAAAATGTATATTGTCATGGATTCACGGATGAACCAAGCTACGGCGTAATCAAGTTTTGAAAAACACAGTGTGCCACCCTGCGGATTAAAGAAAGAGAGAGAGAATTGATTTAGACTAAAGACGCAGTTAAAAAATAAACATTTTTGAATTCACACTCTTACGTATACTACACGAAAATAAAGCCTGTTTAAAAAAAAAAAATGTTTCTTAAGATAACTCAACTGTCATGCAATATTATAATGGTAAAAAATGTTCCCTGGCTGGCTGCTCAGTGGTTAGAGGCGAGGACTGAAGGGTTGCGGGCTCAAGGGCACGTAAGTCAGTTGCAGGTTCAATGCCAGCTGGTGGGGGCGTGAGAGGGAGTCAACCGATCACCAATTGATGATGTATCTCTCTCACACAGATGTTTCTCTCTCTGCAGCTCTTCCCCTCCTTTCCACTCTCTCTAAAAATCAATGGAAAAAATATCCGACCAGCATGGCATAGTGGTTGAGTGTTTACCTATGAACCAGGAAGTCATGGTTCAATTCCCGGTCAGGGTACATGCCCGGGTTGTGGGCCCCATTCCCAGCGGGGGGGTGTGCAGGAGGCAGCTGATCAATGATTCTCTCTCATCATTGATGTTTCTCACTCTCCCTTCCTCTATTCAGTGTTTCCCAAAGTGTGGTACGCGTACCGCCAGGGGTACGGGAAGAGTTTGGTGGAGGTACGTGTTGCACTGGAGTATGGAGGGGATATGCACTGCACCGTGCTTAGCTGCGCCTAATTCTACGTTCTCATGAGTACGAGGGGTACTCAGCGTTACGAAAATTATAGAAGAGGTATACATATGTCAAAAGTTTGGGAAACACTGCTCTATGTAATCAATAAAAATATATTTTTTTAAAATATCCTCATACCTGGGGTGAGTGTTAAAAAATATAATAAAAATTTTAATCATTTATATACACTGAATGGCCAGATTATTATGATCTCTGAATGCATAATAATCTGGTCACTCAATGTATATCCTATATAATAAAAGGCTAATATGCAAATTGTCTTCTCGACCAGGAATTCGACCAGCAGGTAGGCCAGCCAACGGCCCATGTCCCCTCCCCCTGACCAGGCTGGCAGAACCATGCATGTAATTCATGCACTGGGCCTCTAATATATATATTAGAAAGGAGGAGGGGGCAGGGTGGGAAGAGATTAGTCAAAGTTCTTACATGCACAGATTCGTGCACAAGTGGGGGGTCTCTCGGCCTGGCCTGCAGGGACCAGGCAGGAACTGGCAGTCCAACATTCTCCAAGGGTCCCAGATTGTGAGTGGGCACAGGCCAGGCCGAGGGACCCCACTGGTGCACGAATTCGTGCACAAGGCCTCTAGTGAGGAAATAAGAAGCATTAAAAAACTGCTGGCCTAATATATTCTGAGTAAATACCTTTTAATTTCACATCATTGTTATTTTTCTTTGAGCCCTAATAACAGTACCTAGCATAACAACTAAAAGCTGAAAATCAAGTTGAGTTTTGGGTCCACATCCCAACAACAAAAGAAATGTTTAAACTTGATATTAACCTTCAATAGGAAGCTATCTGATCTTTTCTACCTTTAATAAATTAAAAAGTGGTTTGCTTTTTTTAAAAATTCTCATGCAAAGAGATGTTTTTTATTGATTTAGTTTGAGAGAGAGAGAAAAAACATTGATGTGAGAGAGAAGCATGGGTTGGTTGCCTCCCGCACATGCCCTGACCAGGGATTGAACCTGAAACCCAAGTATGTGCCTTGACTGGGAATCGAACCTGCCACCTTTTGGTGTACACAGAATGATGCTCTCATCCACAGAGCCACCGGTCAGGGCTAAATTAAAAAGCTTTAGTTCCATGAAATGACTGCTGCCAATCTTTTCATACCTATCCACATACCTGGACACCCCTGAGTTGAATGTAGTCAAATATAAACCATGCCAGGCAATGACACATGAAAAACACCATAATATCCCATCTGAATACATGGTGGGCTGCCCATCCAATAATTAAACTGGCAACAAAGCATTCTGAAATCGGCTCACAAATTATTGTAGCAGGAAGCATGTTAATTCGTAATTTGGTCCACCTGAAAAATAAAAGGACTTTCTTTAAACAATAGCTTGGTTACAAGACTAATCCATTCCCTCCCAAAATAATCAGTTCTTTACCATGTTATATCAAGGCCCACTTCTTCAAAGAGTATTTAATGAATCTCTTCTATTTTCATTTAACATATAAAAAGGCTAGAAATTCATGTGTATGGTCTATAGTAGTACTCTAATGAATAAAGATTACAAAATTCAAAGTGCATAAAATGAGAAAATAAAGATGAGCACATAAAAAAAAAATCCAGTCTCAAAAAAATCCAGTTTTTTTTTTTTGAACACTTTCAGTGTAACACAGTGAAGACAATAAATGCAGACATTAAATTAATTTTAAAAAGCTCAATTTTTTTTTTCTGGAGCTGAAAAACCTGACTTTTAGACTCATTTTTAAACCAAGTTGTAACACATGAAAAATCACTCCTCCTACTTCCCCCGCCCCCTTTTAGACAAAGTATAAAAAGAAGAAAGCGGCTGACTCACCTGATCATTCTCGACTGGAACTGAGAAATGGAATAGGAGCCCGAGTTTTGCATGGCAACTTGAGTGGACATCGCAAACCTCCAGCCTCTGAAAAGTAAGACAGTTGAGCTGTGGTGATGGACACATGCAAGTGTGACTGCGATGCTTTAATCATGGCTGTAGAGTCACCAGAGAGCCTGGACCTCGGGATGAGCACCCCGCTTAGGGCACGTCAGGCGGATGTGTTAGCCGTCCCGAGGGCTTCTGAGAGCACCAGCTAAGGGCTGGCGGAAGCTACAACCCCCCAGTTTACAATTTAAGAAACTTAAATGACAGGCATTCTCAAAGTTCTAAATGGAATGGGTTCTGTATCTAATAGTTTAGTCTCTGGCCCAGTGGCTGAGCATCGACCTATGAACCGGGAGGTCCGGTTTGATTTCAGGTCAGGGTACATGCCCAGGTTGGATCCCCAGTGTGGGACTTGCAGGAGGAGTCAGCCCATCAATGATTCTCTCTCATCATGGATGTTTCTCTCTCCTGCTCCCTTTCCCTTCTTCTTTGAAATCAATAAAATATATTTCAAGAAAAAAGAAAGTTTAGGTGGAACAGCTGAGGAGAGGTCCATAGGGGAAAAAGGAGACATCAGTGATACATTAAACAATAAATAATTTACATTAAAAAAAAAAAAGGAAGAAAGTTTAGTCTCTGTCACTACTAACCAAAAAAGGGTGGGGAAGGGCAATGTGTATGTGTGTGTATTCAACAAGAAATGTAAACAAAAAGTGACATTATATATGGTTTCATAGTGTTTCACAAAGAGTGAAACAACATGAATACCATTTGTGAGAAAATTTTAAAACCATACTTCAATTTTTAAAACCACTTCTTTAGTAAATCATCACATAAGACAAGGATCCCCTTTAATAGGAAACAGTACTATTTTGTGATAGGGAAATGTTGAGTCAATCAAGTGACCCATTAGTTGGTGCCTTAGCAAAATCCCAAATAATCTGACAATTTCAAAATTTGAAATAATGTCCTTTGAATTTTCACCGACTGGCTTAGGACTACACTGATACTTTTAATTCTTCTAAAACACACAGAAATTTACACCCATAATAATGAACATTCACAATGACAAATAAACTTCCTTTTAATCACTTTCAAACCTCATTAATCTAAAGAATGTAGATGAGTGAGAATATTTGTGTCTTTAGAATAACATTATCTATGAATTCACAGAAATTACTTTCTAAAAATGGTAACCTATTCATAAAGAGTCCTTAATCCCTGGTTTTAACAAACAGAATAAACCAACAGAAGTTAGGTACTAAGCAGCACACTGTAGCCTAATGTAATTTAGTTTTCTTACCGGTCAGCTATTGCTTTGGCCATAAAGTAATCTTCAGCAATGTATTGAGCAAAAGCTATGAGCCCTCCTGCTTGGTCTAACACATCCTTCCTCATTAAACAGGACATTCCTGTCACACATTTGAACCCCGTTACGTGGGCAGAGATATAGGACCTCGGGTGCGAAGTTCCAAAATATACCTGCCGAGAAAACAACCCAGAAACACATGTTTACAGTTAGAATCTTATGTATGGTGTTTATAAACTTTTTTTTTTAATGAGTTTCCTTTAAGTATGACTGAGCGAGTATCATATTCTTATATAAATTACCTGAATAAAAATTGGTATAAAATAATGTTTACACATATCAGGCAGTCAGTAATTTTATTCGTTGACTACTCTTGCTATTATCTTATTGCTTCTATTTTTTAAAATTTATTTTTATTGTTACAAATATTACAGATGTCCCCCATTTTTCCCCTCTGAGCTCTCCACCTGACTCCCACCCCACCCCACCCCGGGCCTTCGCCACACGACTGTCTGTGTCCATGGGCTATGCATATGATGCACGTAAGTTCTTCGGTTAATCTCTTCCCCACCACTCCCTTTCCTCTGAGATCTCTTAGTCTGTTCCATGCTTCCATGTCTCTGGACATATTTTGTTCATCAGGGAGAAGTATATTCTATTCTCAAAAGTTATCTTCCCGCCGAAACCGGTTTGGCTCAATGGATAGAGCGTTGGCTTGGGGACTGAAGGGTCCCGGGTTCGATTCCGGTCAAGGGTATGTACCTTGGTTGCGGGCATATCCCCAGTAGGGGGTGTGCAAGAGGCAGCTGATCGATAACTCTCTCTCATTGATGTTTCTAACTCTCTATCTCTCTCCCTTCCTCTCTGTACAAAATCAATAAAATATATTAAAAAAAAAAAAGTTATCTTCCCTAAAAAGGCAAGATTCAAAGATTTATCCAAATAAAACTTAATTTAGGTATAAAATAAGACTGGTAAAAATATCACTCATTGTTATATATAAAAATGAACAAATATTTATCATCCTGCTTTCAAAATGTTCATATAATTACACACACACACACACACACACACACACACATATACACATATGTATAGGTGTATATATGTATGTGTATACATGCATGAATACCTATACAAACACCACCGATAGTTCTATCAACTTATGGGATGATTTCTTAACTCCTTTATTTCTATCCTTTCATAGCTGGCTGCTTCCTGCCCCTGAGTCACTGAGCTTCCTCGATTTCCCCAATTTTATTTTTCAACTTATTTTTCATAATCAGGGCAGACACTAAAATTCTGTCTCCCATTTTACTGTCCTTCCCCTAGATAGCTGTGCAGTCACGAGATTTGCAAGTTATTAAATTAATGGCAGAATAAGATGGTCATCGCTCTACTTAATTTATACATAAAACCCTCCTGATTATTTGCATCTGAGATACGCTACCTCTTCTAATTCGCTTGAAATAGAGAGCAGTGATCTTTCTCAATGGCAAGAGTTACATACCCAGCATGGAGCAGGGAATTATCAGGGCAACTAAGAATATGATTCTTGCTACCTAGCCCATAACCAAACTATAATGAAGCCGTTTGTGGTGCTGAATAGAACTAAACTTCTAAGACCAGAAATATGCATCTTAATTCCATAGGCAGTTATTAAGTGAGGTCTGAGGAATGGGTGGGACTATGGACTACAGTTGTAGGCTCTGCAGATTTCTTTATAGAATGGAGTAAATCCTCTGGCCTATTTCCATCCATTCTAAGTCTGGTAGATTAAACCTAAACCATAGGGGTTGGTGCAAAATGGGAAGTGCTTATCACTGACATAAATCAACTTGGACACTTCTAAAACAGAAACACAATGTGGCATATGAGAATAAAACGTATTTTATTTAGAAGGAATTGAGAGTTTCCGTTACTAAACAAAAAGTCGATTAGCCCTGCTCAAAACGTCTCCCACCTCTCTGAATCGCCTCAAGCTGCTGGCGAGTGGGAATCCAACAGCAAGGATATTATTTACGAGCATCACACTCACCTGTTCCAACGTGGCGGCAAAGCCCATCCTGTCTGCTACGTAAGGCAGCCCGTGAACCAGGCCTACTTTCTCTGTCATCTGGTTAACCATGTCAGTGAGAGTGTCTGGAAGCACTACGCAGAAAAGACAAGAAGGTGGCGAGGGGGAGAGAGAACAACACTCTTTTTAGTAAAATGCCCACTAAGGTAAAATATATTCTGTGAGTTGTTATTAAATTACTAAAAATAAAAAATAAAAATTTAATTCTCTTTTACATTTGGATCTATTAAAGGAATCTCAATCCCTTTTCTGAATACAAAATTTCAAAATGGCAACATTTACAATAAGCTAATTTACGCTAGGCATCGTTAGGCCATTATATACCTAACGTGGATATACCTTGAAAACCTTAACTACTCCCGTTCCAGATCCTCCAAACTGGAGGAATGGACAATGTGTCCTAGTCGAAAGCTACAGGGTTGGAGGTCAAAGGCCGCCTCCTCCATCCTCCAACCACAGGAAAGGAGACTGCACTTTCTGGGAGGATCTGAGATGTCCTATGTCATAAATCTGCTGCCAGGAACCAAGCAAGAGTATACCTGACGGAGATTTGTGCACCGGAAACATAACAAATTGATGGCGGCATGTAACTTTAGGTAGTACACGTGATGAACACGATCTCTGATAGACAGGTAATGGCCCCGACTTATGAGGAGCGCCCCACTGGACCTACACACAAATAATGTGGGGCAGCAGCTCTGCCTGCCGCCACCCAGGGGACACCTGGCACCCTCTGGAAACATTTCTGGGCGTCGCCCTGCCAGGGGTGCCACTGGCATCCCGTGGGTGGAGGCCAGGGATGCTGCGGAACAGCCCCAGCAACAAGGAATGGTCCAGCCCAGACGTCGGTCGAGTTGAGGTTGGGAAACCCGAGGTAATTAGAATGCAACAGGGTGTTACAGAACTCTGAAGTTACAGGACGTATAAACATTTAAAGCTGCAAATTAAAATGTCAGTCCAGAAAAGGCTTCCTGCTCAAGTCATCTAAGGGAAAAGCCCTCGCTGTGTTCTAGTGAAACATCTATAATTTCTGTCCCTTTGTGTGTGCCACGAACAGATCAAAGTAAAAGTGTCACATGACCGAGGGGACATTTACAGCTGTGAGAGAGCTTATCGAATGTATAATGGACCACAACTGTATTTTTTTAACGGCTGAAATTTTCCCTTCAAGATGAAAACATTTTTATAGGTGTAACATTCCAGGTTAGCATAAAAATAAAAATAAAATAAAAAGTTTAGTGTAACTTGACACATTAACCATAAAATAATGATAAAATGAATTATTAGGCTAATAAAAATGGCTGATAAATTTACATTCAGACTGCCTTTGGCATTTTATCATCAAATAAATAGTTTTATAAAATAAATAAGAAAAGCCTCACCTCTTATTCCACTATCACAAATCCAGATAAGATCATACTTTGCAACTTCATATCCTGGCATTAGATTATTAATTTTAGGATTAATGCCAACCTTTTTGCCACCTAAAAATGTAAAGGCACAGCAGTGAAAAATTCATTCAACACTGAAAATATTTTCTATTATACAGACACATGGTAGAGAGAAATAAAAGGTACTTGCATATTTAATAATTTAAATGAACAAATTTTAACATTGTTTTACATTTCTTATTCACAATGATACAGTTAGAAAAAAAAACTGTTCAAGAGAGAATTATATCATTTATCTTTAAAGTTTTATTAGTTTCAGCTTTCTAGTTCATAAGTTCTTATATTAATAGTAAGCATGGTCTGGCAGGTGTGGCTCAGTGGTTGAGCACTGACCTATGAACCAGGAGGTCATGGTTTGATTCCCGGTTGGGGCACATGCCTGGTTGCATGCTAAATCCCCAATGGGGTGACCGCTAGAGGCCGCTGATCAATGATTCTCTCTCATCACTGATGTTTCTATCTCTCTCTCCCTTTCCCCTCCTCTCTGAAGTCTATATATATATATATATATATATATATATATATATTTTTTTTTTATTTTTTTTTTAAATAGTAAGCATGAATCAATGTATATCGGAAAATATACTCTACAAAAGTCTTTAGAAAAAGCCCACACACAAGCTTTTGGAAAAATATTCCTTTTGTAATAAAATAAAAGTGAATTCAATGCTAACTCCCAATTACAAAGAAGGAGATACATAAAGGCCACACAGTGAAAATATTAAAGAAGCAAAATAGCAGATTCTTACATCTGATTGATGATTTAATCATAACTTGGGATTATTTTTTGTTATTTTATCAATTCCAGATATAAAAAAAAAAAAACACCTTTGTTTTTATAACTGAAGTTTTCTCATAAGAATATAAACACCTTTTGCCACTCCAATAAACATGCATCAAGCAAGCATGCCAATAACTTCAATGGGTGGCTGATATCCTAATCGATAGCTTAAAGCCAAGATTGCTGCCATCTGATACTATTATAGCAAAATTGTTTTCGGAGAATTCGTAGCTTACCTATAAACAATCTGGCGTCGACATTTGGGTATTTTCCAAGAAGCTTCTTACATACATCAATGGCTGGGTCGTCATGATCTTGGACACAAAGGAGCACTTCATACTAGCCAAAAAACACACTTTCTGTGAATTAACCTCTTTACAAAAAAGAAGCACGCAGCAGTATTTACCGACTGATCAAAAAGCATTAAGAAAATCAAGCAATTGTACACACGGAGTTTAAAAGTTAAGGGAGTATTCATAATGGATGCAAGCACTTAGGATGCAAAGTGCTGGCTGGGAACCAGAGCAGCTTCCCCAGAACAGGGCCTGTGTGCGGGCAGAAGGGAGAAGGAGAGCCTGGCGGCGCCCACAGCTGAACTCCTGCCATTCCCAGGTCGGCCTGGCCTGGTAACCAGATCGGATCTCGAGCCTCTCCACGCCCTCCATCACGGAGATCCGCTACACGTTCACACAGTGCCCAGCAGGGGGAAAAGCGACGTGGAAACCAAACCCAATAAACACAGCCTCCCTTCTTTAGAGTAGGGGTGTCGAACTCAATCAGAGAAGGGGCCAAAATCTAAAATCCAGCTTAAATCGCGGGCCGAATGGTTTACTGAACAGTCATAAACTGTCATTGTGATGGAAACGCAGCGGAGTGCAGTGATGACAGCGCGGTGCGGGCCACATTGCAAGGCCTGGCGGGACGGATTTGGCCCGAGGGCCTTGTGTTTGACACATGTGCTTTAGAGCTTTGTCTGTGAACCTAATATATATAATTAAAAAAATAAAATAGAATGTGATTCAAAATGTATCATCTTGAAAAAAATGTTTAGCCTTTGTAAAAAAAAAATGTTTTTATTGGTTTGAAAGACGAGAGAGAGAGAGAGAGAGAGAGAGAGAGAGAGAGAGAGAGAGAGAGAAAGAGAGAGAGAGAGAAAAGAGACATTGATAAGAGACAACTATTGATTGGCTACCTCCGGCACGCCCCTCACTGGGATCCAGCCTGTAATCTGGGCATGTGCCCTGACCCTGAATCAAACCAGTGACCTCCTGGTGCATGGGAGGAAGCTCAGTCCACTGAGCCACACCAGCCAGGGTGAATGCTTAGCCTTTTACCTATGAAAATACTCAGGATTTTTTTTTTTTCCTCTCAGTGCTATGTTTACTCTTTGATAGTCAAGTAAGGAAGTAATTTCTTAGCACTTCACTGACTGTGCCAAAGTTACTCTGGTACGGGTACTTTAAAAAGGAAATACCAGGCCCTATTCTTAGATGTGTGAATCAGAATCTCTGGGGTGACATGTTTATAAAATCTTGAGCTCTAAGTTATCATTTAGTAAATTACTAAATTAAAAAAAAATGTTTGCTTCTACATACAAAGATGTTACTTTAATATTTTTGTGGGATATTTTTTCAAAAGTGGTGATAAATTCATGCTGACTCAATAACAAAAATTTCTTACTTATCCTCTTTCTGAAATAGGTTGGACATTTTGAAGCAAAAAAAAGGGAGGTTGATGATTTCCATGAAAAAAATAACAAAGCTATGTGTTGTAAAAAAAAAAAAATAAAGAGCTAAGGAACACAACTTCTTAAGTGTGTCTAAAAAACAGGGGCTAACTCGTGTGAAGGGAAGGACTATTTTTATTTACTTCCAATGATAAGCAAACACAAGTAAAAGGTGGAAATAAAATGTTTACAGTGCCCTTGAGCACAGTAATTACCGTTTGTTCGATCTATAGTATCTCAACAAAAATTGGCAGTATAGAAATTAGTGGTTTGAGCACAAAAGAGACAGGACTAAGGTCTATGAAGAAAGTAATAGGGCCAAAACCGGTTTGGCTCAGTGGATAGAGCATTGGACTGAGGGGCCCCGGGTTCGATTCCAGTCAGGGGCATGTACCTTGGTTGTGGGCATGTCCCCAGTGGGGGCCGTGCAGGAGGCAGCTGATCGATGACTCTCTCTCAACGATGTTTCTGGCTCTCTATCTCTCTCCCTTCCTCTGTGTAAAAAAATCAATAAAATATGTTAAAAAGAAAAAAAAGTAATAGGTTAAGATTTATTTTTCAAGTGAAGTAAATGTTTTTTTCATACTTTCATCCCAATATCTACCTTCAACACTGATCAATTTGCCACTCAAGAGGTACTGAAACCAACTGTACAGCTACCTCGTTTCCAGAGATCAGATAAAAATCTGAGAAGGGGAAGGCCCCCTCTTGCCACACCCCTAAGACTCCCCAAAGGGTTTACTCTGAGTTCTATAAAGTGTCAACCATCAACCTAACTTGACTTTCAAAAGAATGTTTGGCTGAACTGCCAAAAGGTATTGACCTTAACAATGAAGGTTAGAAAAGTTGAGAGACTTTCTAAAGGGTAATAGTGACAGTTAGCTCTCCTACTGCAGTGAGCTGCTCAGCCAGGCTTGCTCCAAAGAGTTCCTTGTTTTTGCAAACATAGCATAATTTCTTTAATATTTTTTATGATTTGTGCTTTTCGGCAGGTATGAGTGAATATAGTGAAAGGAAATATTTATAAGCAATGCGATTCCATAAACTAGAATTAAAAAGCTAACTTTAGCCTTTTTCCCGGCAGGAGAAAACTTTGTAAAATACTAGAAATGTACTCAATGGGAAAAAGAAAAAAAGCTATGCTAGGTTACAGAAAACATTTTTGAGAATTATATGGTATTAATATATGAGGGAGAACATAGAGTTTACCTTTGTTCAAATTCAAGGCTTACCTTTTAATTAGCCTTGGTGCAAATAAAACTCAATTCATATTATCAAGAAAATGTTGACTTTTGTTATAAAACACAACTTTTGCTTAATTGTTTCCGATACTGAAAAATCATATCCAATTGGAGGTAGCATTCCAAGTGTTATCTAAAGTGTCAGATTTAACCAGGAACCTTCGGTTCTCAGCTATGACAATCACACCTCTGTGTCTACACAGTGTGACCAAACATTTATTGGTTACAGACTTTCTTAGCTAACACAAAACACAGTGTTTATTAGAAACATTCTCTTTTATGAATATCTCAAGAAAACAGTGACTTCACACATCTGAAAGTGATAGAAGTAAATTCCACTATAAATGGATACAGCATAAAGACATGAGATCTAGAAATAACCCCCAGAATACTTTAAATTTGAGGTTAGCTTCCATCAAATCTTTACTAAGGCTGCTTTACTAACAGCTAACCTAACTAATTTCCCCCTTTTTTCAAACAGTGAGAGAACTAAAGAATGAGTGGTATTAAAAAACCCACAAATTGTGACTCATCCCTTTGATATTTAAGAAAAAATATCTGAAACTGCAATAAATTGAATGCTATTTTACTTAAAAAAGTAATCTTAATAAAATATTAGATGTAGCTACATAAATAATATTAGAAAAATTTTTCCTCATTGATTTAGCCCTATCAGCATTAGGAATGCAAAGTTTAACTACAGTAAACAACATAAAATATTCAGGATTTCTATATTGTAGCTCATGTGAGATGATAGTCATGGAATTTAAATGGTTGCGGAAGTTAGTAACCAATGAAAATATTCTTTCATTCATAAAAATAAATTCTCCTACTTATATATTGTAGGCTTTGAAAAACTTCTATTTATTTAATATAAAGCTTATTTTATCATTAGTTGTATTTATATAATTCTTTCTGAATTATAAAAGGCCTATTTTTGCATTTTCAATTTGAGAAAAGATCAAGTACAACTCGGCCATAAAAAAAAGGATTCTGCCAATTGTAACAACATGAATGGGTCTTCAGAGTATTATGTTTAGTGAAACAAGTCAGATGGGGAAGGACAAGACCCAGAGGATTTCGCTAAAGCAACAAATAAACAAACAAAACTTACCGATACAGTCAAAAGTATGGTGGTTACCAGAGGGGAAGAGAGTGGGGGAGAGGATGAAGAGGTCAAATGTATGGTGATGGAAGGAGACCAAACTTTAGGTGGTGAGCCATTTCTGTCCTGGGACTACTGTTACTACAGCATAAAATTTGAGGTTGACATCATCAGGAATTCTTCATACCTTTACCTTAAACAGTGTCAAAATGCCTCCTTATGTATTTACCATGAGAGAGAGGGAGAGAGAGAGAGAGAGAGATGGCCTAGCCCATTTCTAATGAGGACAACACTACACTTACTTTGGGATAATCCAATTCAAAAAATGTTTCCAAGTTGTTGATGAGATTGGGATCCACTCCTTTCAGTGGTTTCAGAAGAGACACGCCTGGCAGCTTGCTATAGGGCTGTTTGTCAGTCGCCTTCTTGTTGAGGTGCAATCGTCTACAAAGCAAACAATGTAAGCATTATTTCTGGAGAATATATTAGCGCCAAATCTATAAATATATATATATATATAACATACACCAAGTTATCAAGAGTTACTAAATTCCAAGTTAAATAATTTTTAATGGACGTTTCTCTAAAGGGATATCTGAAAATGAAGGCAAGTAGAACCAGGGAAGCTTCCAGTTTAGGAAAACTAGAACCAAGCAAAAGCAACGCTCCAACGAAGGCCAGAACGGAAGACCGCTGCCGAATGCGGTACTCGGTACCTAGAACTACGCTGGGCATATGACAGACATTCAATAAATACCTGGTGAAAACATGAACAACAGTGTTCGTCCGCCTATTAACTGCCCTTCCTCCCGCACTGCCATCGAACTGGCCAAAAACTATCAAAACAGTGTGTGTGTGGGATCCTACTTGCACCAGAAAAATCTGGAAGGATAACTAGAAAACTTTGGAAATCTGTATAACAAATGGTCCAGACAACACATGATTGGAAGAAGTAGCAAGCCACCCACGAGGCAAGCAAGAAAACGAAAATGGAGTAAGTAGAAGTCCCAATAGTCACATGCTGCAAATGGGAGGGGTGGATCAGGGGGAAGTTGAAAGTAAGAAAAAAAAAATCTCAGCAATGAGAAAAATGTCATTAATGACACTGGAAAATATGCCAGTATCATCGATTCCCAGAGAAGCTGGTCGAGGTGCTCAGGGCTGGCCCTCCCAGGGGTACTGCAGCACAGGGCATTACAGCTCCTAACGAGGGAAGCCACGCGGCCAGGAAAGAGAATGTGTCCCAGTCAATGCCAGGCTATCACGATAAAGAACCGACATGCCACTCGGCAGAGTGGGGAAGCTCCTAAGGGAAGTCACCAAAGGCTGTCTCCCTCCTTCTCGAAAGCAAGTCTCCAGGCTCTCCACAGAGGCTAGAACATTCACGGAGCCTTCTGCAAGCTATCTCCAGCCACACGTCCTTTCACATGTTAGTCTCTCTGAAACCAATGGGATCTTACAATGCTGGCAGCCAGATAGAGGGGCGGCCTGACTCTGTAGCATGAAAACCAGCCTATGAGACCTCTAAAAGACCAAGAAAACACCCACAGCGTCGATGCATCTTAGGTCGGATGAAATACACCATTCGCCTATGAACGACTCCAGGAAGTACACCAGTACCACCATCGAGAGCACTCGGCCACAGGCCTGCTCCCGCTAATTAAGGCAGAGAGGTACCACAGCACTTAAACACCTAATGTGTCAGTAAGGCCGTACAAACATCCTTACAGAAATAAAACAGGTTACTGACAATGCAAAAAATGTTACACGAGAAAGACATTTAAAAAGACAGTGCATAGATTCCATTGGCACGCCACCACATGCTAAACACAGTGAGTGGAGCACGGCCTGCAGCAGTGCTGCCCGGTGTGGTCCAGTGCAGGAGGTGCTTTTTATTGGTCTGTGATGAGAAGAAACAGAGAGAAAGCGCTTAGAAACGTCCGCAGCAGTTTGACATTGCCAGGCCGAACAAACTTGTAGTTTATCAAAGTTATCGATTCATGACAGGCAGGAAAGTTTTTAAAGGACTGATTCTTTGCCACCAGAAGGTTGGAAATAGTGATCCACAGAATTGATCAAGAGGGCTGGATAGAGGTTCAACCATGAGCTAAAATGTATTCACCCACAAACATGACCACTATTCCATTTCTAACAGAAGAGTAGACTGGACATCTAGAGAGAAAGCCACCTAATACAGGACATCTGGATTGCTGGAGGGGGGGGGGAGTTTTAGTAATAGTTAATTGATTGAACTGGTAAGATAGCCACCACACGGTTCAAATCACAAAAAAATATTAAGAAGGTCATATCAATCTCCCATCTACCTATTCCTATCAACTCCTCCCCAGCACTAGTAGCGTCTTGCCGATCTTTCTAGAGGTTTTCTTTATACATATGCAAGCCAAAGCATGTACACATAAAGCCTCATATAACTTTATACTGCTCTTCCTCTTTTTAAATACAAGTGCACTGGAAGCATGTCTTTATTAAATACACGACTGCCCTGTTAGGAAAACAAGGAGAGCCTCCCAGACAGAAAAAAGAAAACCTCTGAGGCAGTGAATGCTGCAGACGCTGCGTGCCCCGGGCCGTCTGCGGGTCCCTGATGACCTAGGGATGGTGACAAACCTGAGATAAGACTCACGGGAAATGTGCAAAAGGCCAAGTGGAAAACCCTGGCCCCCAGAGGAAAGATGGGGAAGCTATTTGAGATTCACTGAGCAGAGAGGAATAGAAGGGAAAAGTCTCTCCGGAGAACACCTAACCTGGCTTTGGAACCCAGGATGCAAACTACCTGTGTTGCTTGAACTACACAAGGAGAGACCATCATTTGTGACGATGAATATATGAAAGAGGCCACACGGTTGTTTAGAGGTAAAAATTATGATCGCTGACATCAGAAACTCAGCAGGTAAGACAGAAGACGGCCCATGTCAGAGAGAACTGGAGACCAGGAATCTGGACGTGAAAAAATTAGCCAGCGTGCAGGCCAGAGAGAATGAGACACGAAGACACTGAAGAGTGAGGATTTTTATCTCTGGGCCCCACGGATGGTCACCGACTGCTATCAAAACATGCACCTGTGGCGGTGACCAACGACAGAGAAACCTCCCCACGGACACACTGCACTTCGCACGGTTTTAGATGAAAAACAAGGATAATTTCAGCAGTGCTGACCAGTCCAGTGCTGACTCTATCGCCTCTCCCTTCCCCTTCTTCACCAAGACATTTACTTTCCATGCTAACACAGACATGCTAACACAGACATGCCTCCTGTCCCTTGAGGAGCTTCTCCTATCAAGCATGCAGACTTTTCTCGAAGACTCACTGACTCGCCAACAACAGCGAAGCCCTCTGCAGGTGTGTGGTGAAGAGAACTGGTGATAGCTCTGACGTGGCCCGGGTGGCACCATTCTTCGAATGGGCCAGTTTTATGAGCATCTCTGACAGGGCCAGACAAGACTCACTGCTTTACATGTCAGTTCTCATTAAGTATCTCAGGTCACGGTTCCGCATGACCTGAACAGTCTGAACTTGAGCTTTCTGCACCCACTCATGGCACAGGACTTCTCATGGATGCCCTTTTCTACCCTTATACTCTCCAGGTCCAGCAAAACAATGATACATGATACGTTCTCAATTTTAAAAACAATGTTGAATAAATGAAGAGTAACTAAATAAATAGATATTAAGAGCTCAGAAGGTATAGTTAGCCTAGAGATAAACATACTGGAACTATCTACTTTTGATAAATACCACATAAGCTCTCCCAAGTATAACATGCCATTAGCAGGTGGCCACAAATCAGCATCACTAATATCATAGAACCAGTAATGCATGAAGGAGACTAAGAGTGAGTGAGAGACCGGAGAAGTGGAAACTTTGGAAGAGTTCAAGGAAGAACGATATCGAATGTCAAGACAAGAACCGAAATGTCGTGCTGGCTGCTGGGTAGCTCAGTTAGTTGGAGCTTTGTCCCGTATACCAAAGGTTCTGGGTTCAATTCCAGGTCAGCGCATATCTAGGTGGCAGACTCGATCCCCAGTCCAGGAGCGCACGGGAGGCAACCAACTGTTTTTTCACATCGATGTTTCTCTCTTTCCCCCCTTCACTTGCTCTTAAATCAATAAAAATATTCTTGATGAGGATTAAAAAAAAAAGAAAAGTGAACCAAAATGTCTAGGGGACTGTATGCTTGGTGACCTCAGAGCACTTTGGGCAGGAGTAGGTAGGTAAGTGTATGTTAAGAACGTACATGAATGGGAGGTGAGATGTGGTAACAGTGGAATAAACACTGGTTTCTCTAGAAACCTGACAGTGAACACAAGAGCCAAAGACTGACTAGACGGAGAAGGGGCTTCCAGTTTAATTTTTCATCATTTTCAACTTTTAATACCTGAGTATACACGGTAAGGGGAAAGAGCTAGCCAAAGAGTAAAAAGAGAACATAGAGAATAATGACTGACACATTAGGATCCGCAGAGTGAGGTAGGAGCGACGGCAATCTGACAAGCACGAGGGCAGGATGCCGAAGGTGCAGAAGAGGTGCAGCTAAGGGTAGAAAGGAAGTCCTGCCAGACAACCCTGTGGGCCTCCTGAGATCCGAGCCCACGAATGAGCAGGAGCGCTGACCCACAGGGCTGTGTGCTCCCCCTCTGAGCCACTGTGAGCCTTAAGGAGCCATCCATCATGAGGTGGGTTCAAGGTCAGGGGCAGGCTGACCTGAGGCGGGGCAGGACAATAAAGTGATGAATTGTGTGCTCTGGGCCAGAGGGAGAATTCAATAAAGCCACTTGGGTGGAGGCCACCACACCTCGCATAAACAGCCTAGAGCTGTTGCTCTCAACCTTGAGGCACCAAGGAAATCACGAGGGGAGGCTAAAAAAACAAAACATGGCGAGGATGGAGGATTCAGTTGGAATCTGTAGGGTGGAGACCCAGGCAGCAGTGAGTGACCTCTGAGTGACCTAGGAATACTCGATTCCTGATGGAATGGAGAGGTCTGAGGGGGGAACTCTTAGAAAGATCAGCAGGTTTGGGATGGATGGAAAATCAGAAGCCCGTGAAGAAACAAAGCCACAGGTGTGAGAACGAGGAAGAGCAGAGAAGAGGAGGAGGGGCTCACTCCATAGGGATCTAAATGTTGCCAATAACCAGAAACTTAAGATTCAAACAACTGTATAGATTCCTATACACATTCCCCTATGGATGACTTCCGGGTTATTCTCAGGCTACCACGCCATGGCAGTCGATCCTGTAGGTGCCCCGCCCAGAGGCAGGCAGCCTGGATTCTGCACCAGCGCCACAGCTGTGCTGTCCTGGGGCAAGCTACTTCTTTGCCACAAGTCTTTGCAGTTGCTACTGTTTTTTTAAGAAGGTGGGTAACACTACCTACCTCCTAAGGTGGTTGTGGGAAATGAGATTCGGCCACAAAGTAAACATTC